TCTTCTGCCGTAACATTGTGGATGAAGAGCCTGTTATGAGCTGCCAGAGAGTAATGATGTCCGAAGCCATTGAAGTACCATGCGTCTGTATATGTGGATGACAGGGTGTGCACGATGGCCAGGGGCAGCTGTCCTGGGCTCTGTCTGTACCAGTGAATACGAGGATCAGTGAGGTCACACTGAATGGTCACATTTTCTCCTGGATTCACTCGTCTCATTGACAAAGAGATGACTGGGAGACGGCAGAACAGCAGATCTAAAACAAATAGTCATTTAAAAGAGATTGGAAAGGCAAAATTCTTTTTTTTTTAATTTAGAAATGCAATATTTTTATTTAGATAGAGTAATTATTATTGTCAGCTCTTGTGTTCCATTAATACACTCTTAAAAGTCTTTATTCTTGAACATTTTGATCTTCATTAAGATTTTATTCATAATGATTGATACATTCGTTAAAATTATTGATTTTAAAGATTAATTATTGTTTATAATTATGAATTACTACTCACACACTAACGTCAGACCCAAACTCTTTAGACTTTCCATTGCTCCTGTAGTGACTCTCTATGTGAATAATTACTGTATACCTGCTCAGCCGATAAGCAGGTTCTCTCCCTCAGCAGAGATCGGTACAGGGCTACTGATATCACCTCACCTCAGGAGCGACAGAGGGGAAGATCAACAGCTCCTCGTCACAGAGCGGCCTTCACTCTGACCACACAGACATTGTGAGATCTGGCCTCTTCATGGTGGGTGAATCATATCAAATGTTAAAGCCTACAGTTTTTCTTGAGCAATATTTTCATTTTTTTAACCTTTTTGATCAGGAACAGGAAGAGAGCACTAAACACTCTACCTTATCTTTTGATTTTAAATACAGCAATATTTTTATTTTATCTTGGAAAGCTGCAGTATGGACTGAGGATCATTGCTGTTCTCTGTGCAACTTCTCGTTGCAACTCTTTAAATGAAGGAAATTAAACCAAACTACATTGAGGGTACAGTATTTATTACCAAGATGAAAAATGTACAAGGCTGAGCCTTGAACAGTACATAGCTTTTTTAAAGTTTTAAAGTCAAATTCTTTATATTGCTGAGACATGTGATGAGAAGACCGATATTGAAATTACACGGAACACAGACACATTTTCCATTGTTGTGAACTGTGTAAAAGAGAAAGATTCCAGAGTCTTCCATGCAGTCCGGGCTGCTGCAGTTCAGACAGGAGACTACCTGGAGCAGAAGGATCTATTTCACATTCAGTCACAGTCACTGTAGGAGGAAGTGCAGTGCAGGGAAAAGCTGGTAGACAAGAGACAGCCAGTTCCCAGAATTCAGCAGAGACCCAAGTGCCTGCTGGGTACACACAGTACCAGTCACTAGGATCACATAGTCCGCTCAGTCCAAATCCTTCCCTCCTGAGGACTCCCTCCTCTGCGTATTCACTCAACCTCACACTTCCCCTCTGATTCCTGTGTGTCCTGTGCTGTTGTGGGAGACTCTGAACCCCCTGTGTTGACTTTCAGAGGGATTGTAGAGTTCTGGATTGCTGTAGAGCAGCCAAGTCTCCTGTAGCAGTGTGTTGTGAAAGTTAGTTTGCTGGAGATTAGACACTGATTACACACTGATGGAGCTCTGTATTGATCATTGTGTATCACACAGTGAGTCCTCTTCTGTATGGAACCGCAGGTCAGAGAGTAAGGCTGGGGCCAAATTGTGCAGTTTCCTGTGTTTCATATAGAAGTTATTATTTCTGACAGAGAGATGATGGCAACATTTGCAAATGAGTTTGGTGAAAAAGGAAATACAGTAGATTCTTAATGAGGAATGTTTAAGAGCATGCATACAACAATGAAAAAATAAAACACAGTGACTTGAATCTGTCTTGTGCTACACAGCAAGAACATCTCCACTGTGCTTCTGTCTCTTCTTCTCTTCTTCCAGCTGTGTCCTCCTGCTGTGCAGCTCCAGAGTGGCAGCTCTGCTCTACTGTGTCCTGTGCTGATGCTGAGTCCCACAGACCTCATACACTGCAGTGTCCCTGTGAGAGAGCTCCTGCAACACGGGTAAGAGGTCACTGTCACACAGGACACTGAGGGCGATGGGCTAACACACTGATTCATCAAGCAAGCAAGTGATAAAGCTATTAAACTGAATTCATTGTGTAAAAATGCTAATCTCTATCTTAAAGAACAGTATAATGTCACTATAAGGCCATATTATAAAAGCAGTAGAAACATGACGTTACATATGAAAAACAGTTACTTTTCTGAAAATATTTTTTTTAATTAAACACGACATGCATTCATTTAAGAACATGTTATGCGAATCTAACAAAAACACATGTACAAGATATAAATTTAAAACGAAGCAATTTCCATCAGACTAATAATCTCCATGCCCAGACCCCACTCAGCCTGGCAGCCTAGAGACTCAGGCAATGTGTGAGGACTGATCCCCACTGCTCACCTGATAGTGTCCTTCAGCCCCCACAGCCTCTCTGCTCTCCTTTCGCACCCGAGTCTCAGAGTGCTGCTGGAGCTGGGATCTCCCCCCTGTAACAGAGGAGCAGATGAACCCCCATCAGGTCTCCTTCACAGGCTGCCCTCCAGTCTCTCTGCAGGACTGTGACCCCAGGACTGTACCACCTCTCCCCACACAGAGTGACCCCAGGACTGTACCACCTCTCCCCACACAGAGTGACCCCAGGACTGTACCACCTCTCCCCTCACAGAGTGACCCCAGGACTGTACCACCTCTCCCCTTACAGAGTGACCCCAGGACTGTACCACCTCTCCCCTTACAGAGTGACCCCAGGACTGTACCACCTCTCCTCTCACAGAGTGACCTCAGGACTGTGACAGCCAGCAGCCTCCTCTCTGGTCACTCAGCTCAGCAGCCCTGCTGGGGCCCAGTGCTGACTCTCTATCAGCAGCTCACAAATAGCCACACGGTGAAGGAACAGGCAGCAGGAGAAACCACACCACGCTGCTGTGTGACTGAAGAGAGAAGCAGGCTGGTGGAAACCGCAGGTAGAAGGCCTGCTCAGTGGTTATTGTTTGTTTAAAAAAAGCAGCTTTGTTCTAAAACTTCTGGCTTGAGACCTGCAAATGCAGGATGGAGGCTGTTGTAGCTATTAAGTCTAACTATGTTTTGATAATTGTAAGTCGCCCTGAATTAATTGTCAGCGCACTGTGTGAATAAAAGTGAAGCATCAATAGAACTGGCTTGTTGACATTAAAATAACAAAGACATTTGGTGGCTTATCAGTCAGAGCAGGGCAGACCCACCGTCCGAGGGGAAAAAGAAAAATCCCCTGAAAGAGAACCATTTCAAAATCCTGCGGGAGACAGGGGCACCCTCCTCTAGGGCTCAGGACAAAGGAGACGAGGAGCCCCAGAGGAGCAACGGGTTGAAAATCCTCCGCGAAAGAGCTGCCGATAGCTCACTCAACACAGATGGGGAGAACTGTGAGACCCCCTGTGAGAACAAATTGGAGGAAGGAGTAGGCTTCTCCAGAGACATCCCTTTCTAACCCTCAGCAAGACCAGGAGGGAGCCCAGTGTGCCCAGTCTCCAAATGACAGACGTTACATTTAAGGCAAGTTTAAGACTTTAATCTATCACTGCTGTCCGGGTAAGCTATAAGCAATACTGGCAAAGCCTTTAAAAACTCCACCATGCCAGTGAAATTAACATTCATGTGTACTAATGTCAGGGGGCTAAGAGACAGAGTGAAAAGACAAGAAGTTTTGTACTACTTGGCCTCTGTGCTGCTCTCAG